TACTGTAAGTGCGCATGAGTACCTGATCGTTTATAACTTTTAAGTGCTTCATCACGGAGCTGCTGCATTTGTTTGATTGTATCAGTCATCCATGGCGCCCTACCTTTTGTAACGCGTTTTCTAACTAAAGGGGCATGTCTGTCGAATAATTCAACTAAGCAGTTAGTGAAAAAGGCTATTTTCGTATCAATGCTGTCTTGGTCGAACATTTGGAAAAAAGATATACCACGGAGATCATTCAGAAAATGTTCCTCATTGAAAAACTGAAAACTTCTATAAGTGATAAATTTTTCTTTTGAATGTGGATTACAAACTGACATTTTACAAAAAACCAAAAAGTGATCTGATACCTGGCCAACATCAATTATTCCTTTGTCTAAAACAAGTTCCTCCGGTAATAAGATAAGATCCAAGAGCGTTGCTGAAACACCCGATATTCGCGTTGGTCCTTCAATAATTTGTGTTAGCTCGAATACCTCTAAAACAGAATAAAAGTTATTAACAGCACTATTCAAGTAAAACAAATATATATTAAAATCTCCCGCTATTATAACATCATCCACAGTAGGATATATCAAACTCAAAGCTGTCTCAAATTCGTTCAAAAGTTATTTATTTCGACATATGGAGGCTTATAAACAACACCAATCGCAAAACGTTTATTATTCAACTTAACAGTAATCCACAATTGCTCACTAAATAACTTTTCTTCAATTTGCATCAATTCACTATTAATGGTATGCTTTACATATATGAGTAATCCACCACCCCTAGTATGTCGATCAATTCTGTATAAACTAAAATTATGAATGTGCACCGCATCATCATCAATTCCAGCATGTAACCAAGTCTCACAAATTAAAAAATATCAAAAGAGTGCTCAGTGATTAGAGATCGAACATTAGATATAGATGGTAACAACGATCGAACGTTTAAGCTACCTATGTTTATATTTTGCATGGTTATCGAAAAGAAGCCAACCAGTTATAGCGCCTACTCAAAATAAGATAGATACAAGATAGTAGATAAAAGATAATATATATATATATATATATATATATATATATATATATATATATATATATATATATATATATATATATATATATATTTTCTAGTGGTATTAGGCGAGAGAAAAAAGCCTACCTCGATTATGTTATGAGACATAAAAATTCGAAGACTACATGGAATATACTTAGATCTTTGAATATCGTTAAACATAACTCCATAAGTCTACCTCCACATCTTCAGGATCTCGATTCATTAAATAGTGCTTTTTTAAACGTACCTCAAACAACCAAATCATTAACTCAATTGAACCTTTTAGACAAATATGAAAACGTCAAGAATAGTGGTACTTTTCTGTTCACGACAGTTTCCCCTGCCACTGTAGAGAAATTTATTGATCGCATCAAAAGTCATGCTAAAGGCTCAGATGGCATCACAATTGATATGATCCGTATAATACATAAGCATTTGCTCAAGTATATTACCTTCATTATTAACTTTTGTATAACAAATAATCTTTATCCCTCTTCCTGGAAGAATGCTCTTGTTCTCCCTCTGCCTAAATCTAATTATCCTTCAAGTTTTTCTGATCTTCGTCCTATAAGCATTTTACCAAGTTTATCTAAGCTTTTGGAAATGGCTCTACATGAGCAGCTGCACACATTTGTTTGTCAAAATAATTTACTGACCACCTCCCAATCTGGATTCAGACCATTACATAGCACCACCACTGCGCTCCTGTCTATATCGGATAATATTTATAGCGCGGTTGATCAAGGAAAGCTGTCCTGCCTAGTTCTTCTTGATTTTAGCAAGGCCTTCGATACGGTTGACCCAAATATTCTCTGTAAAAGCTTAGATACTTTGGCCTGTCATCATCGGCTTGCACGCTGATTAAGAGCTTTTTAACTGATCGCTCACAGTCAGTCATATATGAAAACAATATATCAACTTCTTTATTCAGAAATTTTGGTGTCCTCAAGGATGTATTTTGAGTCCCCTTTTATTTGCTCTTTATATATGTGATTTTCATGAAACCGCCAGCAACTCAATCGTTCATCATTACGCCGATGATACCCAACTTTATAACTGCTTCGATCCTGATGAATATATGCTTGGCCAACATCAAATAAATCAAGACCTGCAGTCTATTTTTGACATATCTAGTGCTCACAATCTAAAACTAAATCCTGGCAAATCATGCTGCATTTATTTGGGCCCAAAAAGAATCGTGAAATAAATCAATATCGCATTAATATTATGGTGAATAATGAAGACATATGCTTCGTAAACGAATCCAAAAACCTTGGTATCTGGTTTGACTGCAAGCTACGCTTCACTAAACATGTTAACCAACTATGCAATGCGTCCTATAATGTGCTTCGTCAGTTATATCCGAGTCGAAGTGTCCTGTCGACACAGCTCAAGCTTAAACTCTGCGAGTCCCTTATCCAGTCAAAATTATCTTACGGTGACTCTGTTTATGGACCTGCTCTTTTACAACGTGATGCCGAGCGGATTCAGATGATACAAAACTCATGCATCAGATTTTCTTATGGAATCCGTAAATTTGATCATATTAGTAGCGCTTTTGACCAATCGGGATGGTTTAAGATGAACAAATTGAGGAAACTGCATTGCCTATCTCTGGTACATAAGACCCTTATCCTTAAAGCGCCATATTATCTTTATACAAAACTAAGCCTCCTCTGCCAGTGCGATCAAAGATCCTCTAGGAATAAACTCATCTTACTTATCCCGCGGCATTCGACAGCATTGTTCACACGCAGTTTCTCGTACTGGGCACCCAAACTATATAACTGCTTATCAAGTGAGTATAAAGAATATAGCCTAAGCAATTTTAAAAAAAGGTTAAAGATGAGTTTAAAGCAGTCGGATGGCTAAAATTTTACTTTATGCATATCCACAGGTAATTGATTGTTTCCTTTCTCTGATAAGTGTTATATTCTAAGTTTTTTTTTTCTCTCTCTCTCTATAGTTTGTGTCAATGTTTTCCAGGTCGGGTTGAAAACAGCATAAGCTGACACTCCACCTTTCGTCACTGTTCCTTTTAAACCAATTATTTTGTAATCGTGTGACGAATAAAGGCCATTTATTATTATTATTATTATATATATATATACTATATATACTTCGAAGTTGAGTCATTTATTTTAACAGTGAGTAGATCTGATCAAAAGAAATGTTTTTTTCCTTTACCATTTTTCTGGTAAATTAAAGTAACAAAGTTATAGCCCTTTGGAAGTTTGAGTACCGCCCTGTCTCAATAATAATATCATGTGCTGGTGTTTGGCAACAACGGATATGTATAATCCGCCTCGGCTCATCGCATCGGAAACAAAAAAGCGAAAGAATTTGGAACGATGTTTTACAATTATGTTATTCAGTTCAGTTATACATACAGTCAGTGTCAGTCGGTTAGCGTGTGAATAGTGTCTGTTGCGTATATACATATACATACATATACACATATATGTAGGTTACTAGAATTAAATGAATGTTGTAATCTGCAAAAGTTGTTGGTCTCAAAAAAAATTAGTACGAAAGAAAGTAAGAAAAAAAAACGGATTCCACGTCAAAGTGGGAGCTCAATTGCACGAGTGTTGTGCTGCAGATTAAAATGGATATATAATCATCTTAATGAGAAAAAGATAAACTGTTAGCAATACATAAATGAGAACAACTAAAACTATTCCTACTTGCTCAGAATCAAAATAGAGGATGACGTCATGACGCCGTATTGATTCATAAGAACATAAACGAGAAGAAATGTCGAGTGATCAAAATAATTGGGAAACAAATTATTAGGTATAAACAAAAAAGTGGATATACTTAATATATTCAGGCCACAAAATAGTGTTTTTATTATGGGACTATCATCCTCTATTCATTACTGTAAAAACTTAAAATCATGAATAAAAATCAACAATAGCGACAGAATCAGGCAGAACGTAGCCTTCAAGAATAAAAAAAATCTAATCTAGTACAAACTTTCTTTTGCAAAAAAAACGGTTGCATTATCATCTCAATATGAATGAACAAAACGGACCTCACAATTTTGCAATATCACTGAGCTTCTCTATCTTCACAGTTCTGCCTTCTCCATCATATTTGCAGAATATTGTGCCGTTTGTCGTCCAGACTCTACCATTCCTTCCCATTTTCGTGATTCATCCTTCAGTAGCTTCAATTTATATTGAGTCAAGTCCTCCCGGATGACCATTCCAGATGATTTTAAGAGCCTTTTATTATCATAGGCGAGCTGTTATAATACATTGAACTAAATTTAAGTACTATCGGCCTTTTCTTATCTCGTTCATATTACCCTATTCTAATGCAGCATTCAATTGCTGGTCGTTCTACGTTTATTTTATTTTATCCCTGAGGATTAGGAGGATCCTATGCAGACAATCTTCACTTTGGTCCTCAGAAACACCATAAATGCGCAAAGTCTTACGCTTGCACTACTGCTCTTGCTTATCTTGATTTGAGATTATTTTCTCAATCGCCTCTCCGTGAGTTTGAGCTGTGAGGCAACTTCTTTGTTTCGTTGCTTTAAAGAATCAATATCCTTTTCACTGTTCACTTATTACCTTCGTGATTGAGGTAGCAATCTGACCAATAAAATCTTCAGATGAGCAAATCTTCGAGACTAAATCCTTGACAGTTACGAGCAATTCATCCTCGCCTCGCCTGTTACCTTGCCTGGTATTGCTCATAATGGAAAAAAAATAAATTCAGATTATACTATTAAGCAATGCACCAATCACAATAGCACTATAACTGCTCAGTAGGCAATCACTAGCACAAACCACTTGGAAAGAATCAAAAGTATAATAGCACAATTTCTCATCAGAAATTCAATTTTTGCAGCAGCACAACAAACGCGCGTCTACTCCATAGCGTGGTCGATAGACTATTCCAATGTATATATTATGTAACTATTGTAATTATAATTGTTTTCGTTACAGGCACAACTTATATGCGACCAAGATTTGAAAATTATCAGTATGTTTGCCGGCTATCCGGACTCTGTATATGATGCTAAGGTATTTAGAACGTCTATTTTTCAAACACTGGAGCAGAGGTGTGGTGCCGACCACATTCTTGGAGATAGTGCATACCTCTTGTTACCCAACCTCTTAAATCCATTCAAGACAGGTGCCAGTTATCATCCAGGCAACTGAACTATAATAGAAAACATTCTTCATATCGTATTCTAGCAGAGCACTGCAATGGCCTTTTGAAACAAAAATGGAGGCAACTCTACCACGCTAAGCTAAGAAGCATCAGGCAGACAGTGCATTTCATATGCGCATGCTGCGTTTACACAACTTGTCAATAGCTGATAATTTGCAGCGGAGCACACTGAAGATGATGGGACAATAATCACTTGCACATTCATCCATCAGAGCTGAGTGGTATGGAAGAGGATAGTAATGGCGCTCAAAAAAGGAACTATATTGTTACTCTGTTATAATCATTATATACTCGACTATAAGTTCAAGTTTGCATAGGACTATATGTCTAATTCAAACCATTCTGTTTGTGTTCAATATTCTATTTACTGGAATTGTAATACCAGAATGCAATCTCTAGACTATGAAAACAGTGTGAAAAATCTGAACAATAGAGAACAGAACTTTCAAGAGCCGATACGATTTTTTTGGGTTTTCTAAATGTTGGTTATAGTTACAGAATGCGCGAAATACTCTATCTAACTTTATTCCTAGCTGTGTTGCAACTTTTCATGTTGATCAACTTTGCCATCTTAGCTTTTTATATTTATCCGTATTTCTGCTTGTGATTTGCCTCAAAGGTAAAAACAGTACTGACTTGATGATCTCCCCCTTAAGAGTTTCTGTATTTTCCTAGTCTTAGTTCATTTTGTCCAATGTGAGAACTCTTTGAAAACTTTCAGCTATGTAAGCAGATTTTGGTAATTGCAGGTATGTTCAGTCGTTAGCTTTTTAGAGTATGTATGTTCACTCTTGTTATTAAATACATTATTAAATCTTTTTAGTGTTTTTAGTACTTTCTTCCAATATAGCAAAAATATCCCACCTCACCATCATTGTTGTGTAAGCGCACCCGACTATTTTAAGAAAATATATTTGCGGCTTGTGAAGTTTAGTGCTGTGATCAACATGATGTAGCAGTTGCCCAAAAAATCAGTGTGTGAACTATAAGGACATACTTACGAGTAAGTAAGGTGATTAGAGGTGCCTACCTCCAAGCTTACGTCACGCAATTGTGGAGTAAAACTCATCCAGTCTTATGGTGAGCCTTATGTCGTTGCTCTTGACATCACTAAAGCGTTCGATCAGCCATCACACGCTGCCCTTTTGAGCAAACTTCCACCCTATGGCCTCCCCAGAAATGTTTTCCAGATGGGTTACTGACTTTGTTTCTGGCCGCAAGATATCCGTCGTAATTGACGGGTTTCTCCTCTTATCCCACAACGTCAACGGGGGTGATCCCCATGGATCGGTCTGGCTCCTACACTGTTCCTCTTACATACCAACGACCTCCTTTAATGCACGATCAACCCAAACCACAGTTTCGCTAATCACAGCACTCTACATGCAGAAATTCAAAGTGACAGCCGATCTCTGCCGCTGAGCTGGAAAATAGAAGACTAGCGACGACTCCCTTTCTGACGAGAGACCTGGAGGTTATCACCGTTTGGGGACGCAACAATTTTGTACAGTTTAATGCTTTGACGAACAAAAGATTCCAAAATCTTATCCGGTTTCGATGGATGGCCGAGCTCTACCAAAGAGCCATTCACTTCGGCAGGTCGGAGTCCAGACCACCGAGGACCTGGTCAGGCACGAACTCATCTCGCCAAGAGCAGCAGCTGCTGGGAAAAAGTTAGGCTATTTGTTTAGAGCTCAGAAGTATTTTTCTCCCCATGACCTTCTCACTCTATACAAGGCCCAGATAAGGCCTAGTCTCGAGTATTGCTCACACATTTGGGGTGCTGGCGCCCCGACTACATTATTTATGATCGATGCTGACCAGTGGAGAGCTGTCCGACTGATTGATAACTCTTCTCTAACAGACAGTCTCGGGACCCTTTCGCACAGACGGGCCGTCGGCGATCTAGCTCTCTCGTACCGCTACACCAACGCGCTTTGCTTCTCAGTATCTTTTTTTTGTTACCAACAATGAAGTTTTTTATGTTTTAATCTTCAATATTATTACACTAGCAATTATACATGCCATGTACTTATTTTATTCTCATTTAAGAAAATATTGCCTCTTTGAAGATTTCTGAGCATTTTCGATGTTTTTTTTTCAAGCTGGCCTTGACCAGATAGAACACAATGGATTAAAGGAGCAATAATAGGATAACTTCTAGAAGTTCCACTGAGGTTAAAAAATGACCAGCCCAAATATCGTTTGCGCCCCCCACCATCCCCCCCCAAGACGAAATCCTGAATGCGCCCTTGAATGGGTGCGAGTTACAGAACTTGTAGGCACCTTTCACATCCATTTTTATTGCTTATACCATAAAATTACTTTGCTTTCAATTTTCAGGTGACCTGCCGCCATTCTGTATGATTTTGCTTGCCATTGGTCAGGTGTATACGAGTGTATTACATTAGTTACTTTGACTAGGTCAGCCGGAGAAGACTTCGTACATGGAGATTTATCAAGAGCATTCTATTTGTCTTACTGTCATTTTCGAAAAGGTGCTCATAGCTCACCCGGGGAGACTGTAAAATCAAGGCATTTTACATAATGAAGAAGATATCAAAACATCTGTAAATGGACCGAACCATCCCAATCCAGTGCCGAGTGCTTGCAAGTTTTTGTTCCAGTCTGAACAAAAGAGGTGTTTTTCGACCCATGATTTACAGCCTTCTCTTGAGAATGGGGGAAGCACCGCATAGGGGCACATAAACACACAAAAATGGTGCTCGTAGAAGAAGAACATATGTTCGAATAGAGATGTAATAAAATGGTATAATCAACTGTGGTTGAGATTCAAAACATCAAGTAAATTGCAGCCGAGAGAGATTTTTTTGGTATAGCTTTCCTTATCCGTTGCGATGGTTCGTTCCACCTCTAGATGCTTTGACATCTTTTTTTATATAATCTGTCCTTATTTTCTTATGAAATGCACAAATGTGATTTCATGTTACACGATGTATGCACTTCTCAATCACATATATACAATCGAAAGCAGAGCTTTCCTTTAGTTGTTTTATATCCTCTAAAAATAAGTTTTTAAAATTTGAATACCGGTACAATATACCCGACTTTTTCCTACTAAGAGTCAAGTATCTATATTTTGAGATTCCTAGATGCTCCTAACAAGACATCTGCGTCCTAGAAGACCAGCTGTCAGTTTTTTGATCGGCCTTACAATGAACTATTGGTTTTCCTGAACTGAACTGAAATGAAGATAAAGTTGAGTGTCACACTAAGAGGACGCGGATGGGGTGGATCACTCCGTGCCTCCAGTATAAGGCCTCCAAATGTTGAAAACCCTTTTATAATCATTAAATGAACATTCTTTATAATTGCTTAATGAAATGATACTGATACTGATGATACTTTAGCAGTAGCAAAAAACAATTGTTGGTAATCTACTATGAATTTAATAAAGAGCACGTGATACACGAAATGAAAATGTTGCTGTTTCTAGATGGAACGCCCAAGAAGTTCTTCAATTTATTATTAAATGGTACCCGTTGCCCTGTATATCATTGATATTATAATGTTTTTGACTATTTGCGTTTCATTAGCAATGTGAGGGAGGTTTTCCTGAGCTGAAGATTTTAAAAAAATATCTAATGTACAAATACATATACGGATACATTCTGTTAAAGAAACTATCATTTTATTGGAACTTATTGTTGTGTTGTTGATAGGAATCGAAGATTTTGTAAGAATAGTCCTTAATTGTGAACCTTTTCGTTTTAACGCATGTCATAATTACCACTATTTCATTCATCCTTCTAGGCTTGCAAAATTCTGTAGCCCACAACTATAAAAATTTAAGAATATAATTTTTTACCCATCATAGAATGATCAATTTTTTTCTTTAGTATTATAGCCGATACTTATATGACCATTCGGAGTAAAACAACTAAAAAATAGTAGTTTCCCTGTGAGCTTGTATTATAGTTTATAATAACTTCGGGAGCGACTCAAAGCCGCGTCAGTGTTCTTTAGTTTGGTGAGCGTAAGTGTTAGTAGAAGGAATATGCCATCGAATAGCAATAACTCGGACTTTTAAATATTTGTCGGACTTACAAAGGGCATGGCCTTGAGCCCTATGAATAAAAAACAAGTAAGTGTTTATAAGCATAAGGTAGAATAAAAAGTAGATGCTCAAAGAAAAACGTAGAAGCAAAAGCAATTGCCACATTCAAAATGAATCACGATTACCCTTTACTATCAAGTAAATGCATCATACAAAGGAGTAAAAGCTCATATCTAAAGCACACGTTGTGACGCTTCATCTACCGAACCCGGCCGGCTTACACCCAATAATGTACATTCCATACATCCTTTGCGGATTACGCATTCGTTCCCATATAATTTAGATTTCTCTAGTTTGGAATTCACAATTCACATTATTTATTCCAGGATCTTCAAAAGATGGAACAGCGCATTAATTACCAGATCAACAATACAACATATAATATATTCACAACTTATTGTATTATTATAATGATTATTATTTTTTTTTTAAGCCCACAGCGGCATCGACAGCGAAGGTCATTAGCCGCTTTCCTCCTTCCCAGATGGTCACTTGCTACTTTCACCACAGGGGTAGATCTGGGTGATTTACGGTGTGAGTTCAGTAGCTGAGATATCCATTGATAAAAAATAGAAAAAAAAGACAAAACAGGAAAAAAAACATACCAAATATTTTGGTAAGACAAAAACACAAACGTGGAGGTATACAAGACGAAGACAGGTAGATACATAAACATTTTATACTCTTTTTTCTTTCTTCTTTTCAGATGTGTCGCTATCGTTTATTAATTTTACTTTTGCTGGGTCAGATTATACTTTAGTTGTGTGATACTCGGAGGGAGGCAGATGTACGTAGATTATGGTGTCACTATTTTTGTTATGTAAAGTATTAAATTGTTTGAACAGTCCTGATAGTTTTGTGAATTGAAGTAATTTTTGACATGCGTCGGTATTCTCGAAACAATCACTGATGTTGAGTGGTAATTCACAGCGCGTACGGGCATCATGAAACTGTGGACATTCAATTAGGACATGCATTAGTGTTAATTGCGTTTGGCATGAGTTACAGTTTGGTGGGTCTTCATTCAATAGTAAGTGTAAGGACGTTAGACGAGTATGACCAATCCTAATTCGTGAGAGGCACACCTGCTCCCTACGTGACAACGTATTAGGGTAAACAAACTTGCCTACATTGGGTTGTAAAAGGCGCAAACGCGTTGCACTTTGCTCCCATCGTAGATCCCATAAGTGGTTTATTTTTCTTTTAAAATATGCTTTAAGGTCTTCAAATTTTATGGGGGAGCTTTCAGAGGGTGCACTGTGCAAGGCAGCTCGAGCAGCTGCATCGGCACTCTCATTGCCTGAAATTCCTATGTGGCCTGGGCATCACACTAATACTACCGTTTTGCCTTGCATTTCCAGTTGGGAATAAAGATCAAGAATTTTTGAACCACCGGGTCTCTACTAAAAATATCTCTGATAGCACTTACAGCACTTTGCGAGTCACTACAAATATATACGTATCAGGCTCAGCACTCATGAGGAACTCCATTGTCTTTTGAATGGCAAATAGTTCCGCTGTGTATATTGAGCATCTCGAATCAAGCGAGAATCGAAATGATTCGCCAGGTATTATAAAGGCAGCTCCTACTGCCGTTTCAGTTTTTGAACCATCTGTGTCGATGACCAATTTTGGTCTAACCTGATCTTTAATAGTGCTCAATACCTGCGTATAAATTGTAGGGTTTCTGACAGCTTTAGAATATCTTGCACAATCTAGTCGTGTTAAGGGTGTCTTCAAAGTCCAAGGAGTGGTTTCGTAGTTTTGTATTGGGTATAGCGGAGGCATTTCTACTTCAAGACTTTCTAGATACTCATGTATTCGCACGCCAGTGGGCCTTGTCATTGTAGGTCTGGCCATAAATGTCTCATTCACTTCATCGTTAAAGACTATACTGTGGTTTGGGTGAGATGGCTGAGCCCACAGCTTAACAGCATAGTTCATCGTCAACTGTTGTATGCGGTATTCTAGAGGAGGGACGCCAGCTTCATAATTTACAGATAGAGATGGGCTTGTTCTAAATGCTCCAATACATAGCCTAAGTCCTTCTCGATGAACTCTTTCGAGGCGAAGCAGGTGCGATTTTCTGGCTGCTGAATATGATCATTCCATAGTCCATCTTAGACATTACTAGGGCTTTGTATATCCGAATTAGAACTTCCTTATTTGCTCCCCAAGATATGTTTGATAGGCATCTAATAATGTTGAGAGATCTCTTGCAATCCAAAACAAGATTATCGATATGGGCTTTCCAGTAGAGTTTCGAATCAAAGGTTAATCCAAGAATTTTCAGATTATCTCTGACAGAAATACTTGCTCCTTTAATGGTGATATTGGGCTGGTTGTGAGGGGTTCGGAGCCTGCAAAAGTGAACGCAACAAGATTTTGTGGGTGAAAATTTGAAACCCTTATTTTCAGCAGCTTGCACCAACCTATCAAGAGTTGGTTGCAAGGTACTCTCTATCTCCTCCATATTTGGCGGCATGGTAGACCACGAGATCATCTACATACATTGATTTACCAACACCATTACCAAGAGTTTCTAATAAGCTATTAACTGCGATTATGAACATAGTTACACTGAGTGTCGACCCTTGAGGAATTCCATTTTCTAGAATGTGGAGTTCGGATAGTTTATTTTCTACCCTGACCTGGAATGTTCTCATTTCGAGAAAACTTGAAATAAACCGTGGTAAGTTTCCACAGATTCCCCATTGCTTAAGCTTTCCAGTATACCAATTCTCCAAGTGGTGTCATAGGCTTTTTCGAAGTCTAGAGAAATAGCTACCATATGTTTTCTGGAAGCAAAGCAACTTTGTACAGCGGACTCGAGCATTACAAGCTGATCGATAGTCGACCTGTTTTTGCGATAGCCCATTTGGTAGCTTGATAACAAGTTATTCGATTCGAGTAGCCATACCAGCCGCTTGTTAACCATCCGCTCAAGAACCTTGCTTGGACAGCAAGTGAGGGAGATGGGTCTGTAACTCGAAGTATATTAGTAGGTCTTTCCCCTCTTTTAGTATAGGAATGATGATGGAATTACGCCATTCTGTGGGATATTCTGCTTCTCGCCATATTTGGTTGTAGATGTATAAAAGGGTCTGTTTTTCTATTTCGGGTAGATTACGAAGCATCTCATAGTGAATTTGGTCTTGTCCTGGTGCTGAGTCACTACATTCACTTAATGTTTGCTCTAGTTCTGTTATGGAAAATGGCAAATTGTAAGTCAGGTCAGGCCCTTCCTCGAAATGGACGCCTGTTGTTTCCACCTCATTTTTAAGCTGCTTGAAATGTTGACTGTAGTTTGCCGATGAACTTGAGAGTTCAAATCGGGATGCGAGTGCTTCAGCTTTTTCTTCAGGGTCAGATACTGTTAGACCATTTACAATCAAAGTTCGACATACGTTTGAATGTTTTTTCCCAGATATGCTGCGTATTTTCTTCCACACCTCCGATGCCGTAGTATCACTGGTAATTGTTTTAATATAGTTTTCCCAGGAGGATTTCTGTCCAGACACTAAAAGTTTCCGAGCCTTTGATCTATCTCTTTTAAATCTTATCAAGTTCTCCTGGGTGGGGTGTCTTTTGAAGAAGTTAAAGGATTGTTTCTTTTTCCTTATCGCTTCGGCGATCTCCTCATTCCACCAAGGTACTGCTGTTTTGAAATGTCCAGTGTTTTTGGGTATACTACGTGCAGCGGCAGCACGTATACGTTCTGTGGGCCCCACAGTGGGTTATGGGAATTGAAATCGCTCAGAAGGATGAATGGTTGTGGGAGCTGATTGATAAGGTTTTCAATTTTCATTGGGCTTGAGATGTGTCTCTTGGATACATACACAGAATGGTGTCTTATCAAGCAAAAGTGCTTTCAATTCAGGATAATGCGATTTAATACCATTAATGTTCCATTGTATTATGTTTTCCATTATGGAAATGTTTAAAAGTTCAAAAATGCTCATGTACGTACAGATAAGACATAGACATTGCAAAGTAAAGAAGAACAAAAAATAAATATAAATAAATAATAAAATAATAAAAAAAAATACTATGTAAGTTTTTTTTTTCTTTTTTAGAAGTTATTTAAATCACATTTCAAATACGGTTGCTTAGCTAAGTTAGATCGACGGATTCTTGCAATGAGATAGCTCCGGGATCTGGAGGATATACAGAGCTAGGACGAATTATGTCCTGAGACTGTGAAGTAGTCGTCTGAATCTCGTCGATATTCTGCTGGATCGGAAGTGCAGAGCTAAGACTGCGCTGGTCTTTTACAGCTTTTCTTGGCCGGCCTCTTTTTCTACGACCTTCTGTTTGAGAAGAAGCTTGACTGTCGTCTGAGAAGTCAGTGCCTTCTGCTGGTGAGGAAGCCTTCCTTTTTGATATATTTGACGCGTCCGATCCAGTTCTTGAGCGAGTGACCACTCCTACAAATTTTTTCGGTGGTGGTGGTGGTGGTAGATTTAATGTTCCTGGAAGTGTGATCTGCTGTGTTGGGGGAGTATTCTTAAGTATCTCAGATATAGACTTTTTAACAATGTTTTCGAGAATTGGAGATATTTTCCTCATAAAATCGTGTTCTGTTTGACTAGACATTTGTGTCGCCTGAGAGTAAGACACATTTGGCCTAGGAGTTTGAGCAATTACCTTCTTTTTAGCCTCCATGTAGCTTATTCTTTCCAGTGTTTTACACCTTTGAATGGCCAGTTCAGTTTGATATTTGGGGCTAACTTAGATTTGGCAGAGTGTGATCCTTCGCAGTTTATACACGTTATGGGGAGTTCACAAGGATTACCTACATGCATTGCTTTGCCACATACACATAACTGTTCACTTGAGCACGCTGCAGCAGCGTGTCCGAAGCGTTGACATCTAAAACATCTTACTGGTGTGGGGATATATGGACGCACTTGTAAGTTATACATAGCTTCTTGAATTTTGTCAGGGAGCCTAGGAAGATTAAAAGTGAGAATGTGATTGGCTGTGTCTTCTAATACGTTGTTTCTTCTCGTCTTAATTCTTTGAACATGAATAACCCCTAGATCTCTCAATTCTGACACAATTTCCTCTTCCGAACAATTGAGTAGATCTTTGCAGTAAACACCTTTAGTGATATTCAACGATGGATGTGGCTCAACTACTACAGGAAATCCAGCAAATCTAGTAATTTGCAAAAGTCTTCTAGATTGATCGTCCCTAACAGTTTCTACTAAAATACCTCCCTTAATTTTTACTGTTTTTGGATTTTTCCCAATGATGCTATACAGACTCTTAGCAACTAAAAAAGGACTAACGTGAGTAAAATCTTCTCCATCTACCTTTTTAATAACCAGGAACCGGGGATCGGCCCAGCCGTCTCCGTGGTTATTCTACCTCCTACAGCTACTGATGCCAAGGTGCCCTCCCCAGAATCCGAGGGGCGATTGCCGCCTTCCGAAGAAGACGGGCGGGATTCTGAGCTTATCGCTCTACCCGCCTGGGGTATATTACCGTTGCGTTTACCTGACATACCGGCCTTGCACTTACACTCATTGGGGATTGGAGGCGAATGTGAGCGCGTAGAACCTCCGGTACGGGACATGATGAAAGGAAAAAGGATGGGGGATAGAGAGAAAGAGGAAAGGTAAAGCCCAGGGTTTGGCAGAATAAATAAGACTACCAAACCCCGAACTCCCTGCCTGGGGCCGTGGGGGCGACGCTCCCCATGTATCTTCCCTTGAAACTGGTTCAAAGATCCAGCTTCAAAAGTAGATACCCCCTTCGGGGTATAATGATATTATTATTATTATTTATTATTATTATTATTATTATATTATTTATATTATTATATTATTTATTATTATATATTATTATATATTATTATTATTATATATATTATTTATTATATTATTATTATATTATTATATTATATATTATTATTATATTATTTTTTTTTTTTTTTTTTTAACCCACAGTGGCATCGACAGCTATGGTCATTAGCCACTTCCCTCCTGCCTCATGAGGTCATTAAGTTGAACCTAGCATCTCAGGGATAGATCTGAGAGTTGGATAATATATAGAACGCACACAATCACATACAGTATAAATAATTCATTGCATCATCCCATTTACTTAATTCAAGTATGGAGGTAAAACTGAGTGTTTACCATAGGTAAATTACT